ATGCATATTAGGATTGGACTATCTACTACCGAGGAAGTTAGTAATTGATTTTGATAAAATGATGTTTGGGAACAACAAAGTCCAAGTTCTGGTAACTGTTAAAAGAGAGGTTGAACTAATTAGGTGCCATCAAGCTGAAGTCAAAGTGACTGAAGAAGTTGATGATGACGAAGTGGAACCAGGTATTGATATTAAAGCAGAGCAAGAGAAAGATCAAGATTTGAAGCCAATAATTGATTTTTTAAAAGCAAGTGTTTCGTGCCCTGCTTGGGAGAAGATGTCTAGTCTAAGCCCTGTGACAAAGCACTATTGGGCACAATGGGACCGGTTAAAGCTTGAAGATGGTATTTTTCTCCGGAGATGGGAAATTGACGACTTGGCAAACGGTTATACCGAGAAAGTTACGGAAAGTTGTGCTGCGTCAATCCCATGACACTTTAACAGGAGGATATCTTGGAATTAAGAAGACATTGAGTCACCTACGACAAAGATTTTACCGGATAAAATGTGGTCGGCGAGGTAAGCCAAAAATGGTACATGCCAACAGGCTTTGGCATTATCACAGTCCAGGACATTTCAGTTGGGACGAAGTGAACAACAGAACAAATGACGCTGCTAAAGACGTGTCACCTGAAAAAGCCAATGTTGAAGAAGAAACTTTACTCAGTTTTGAGAAGGGGAAATGGTGAAGCTCTTGATGAAGTTACTACCACTGATGTGACTGTTACTGACGATAGGATATTTCCTGATGAAGCAGATGAACTCCACATGAAGCAGAAGCCAATGAGACGGAGACCAGTACGGAAGAAGATACGTCCCGTAAAATTAAGAGACTTTGTTGAATTGCAATTTTGTGTTTGTAATTCTGTACATTTAATTAAGTTATTGTTATTGGTTTATTGTATGTGGCTATTGTTCGGGACGAACAATACTGAGGAGGGGGCAGTGTTGCGTCACGCCACGTTTTCTAGAAATATCCTGTTCCTTCAAGAATGCCCTAGCATTTACTAGATATGTATTAGTCTTGTATATAAGACAGTCACAACGTGACGGGGACAGTGCAATGAGTAATTGAATGTATGCGGATAAAATATTGTTGGCCACGTGAGACGTGAGCGTTTGTTATAGAGCGATTGTTGAAATTAAGTGTATCGCAAAGTTATATTCAGAAAGAATAAACCAGTTTTATTTAAGAAAGGACTTGTGTCGCTAAAGTTTCGTTGGAACGAAGTTACGGAAAATTAACTAACTACTGGAGGCGTAACAATATACTTCTTTCGCTAAATATGTGGAAACACGTGATAAGTAGTTACAAGTCGAACGCTGAACCAAGTGATTTTTTTTTCATAATAATAAAGAGGTATTTTGTGCTCTTATACTTTGTGGAAGCTTTCGATTACAATAATGTGACCATAATTTGAAATTAAATACGAAATCAGACTCTTTGATAGCAAATTTAATAAGTTCAATTTATAAAGTTTTAATTTCCTCTTAACCCTATATTGCATACATTAAGAAAATATGGTAGAATTTTTTTATTTAAATTTCTTAGTTAAAAAGATCCACATTGCACAAAAAATGTTTTCGTGAAATATATTTTAAGTTATAAATGGGTACGTTACCTAGAAATAACACTGTTCAACTGAGGAACCAACAGAAATATTTTTAATGGTTTATTTAGACTGTTACCTGGAAATAAGAGCATTTAACTACAAAAATGGAAACATTTTTACGTACATCAAGCAACAAAGATAGAGTTAGTTTCGCGGGATGATTGAGACGAATGGTTAGAGTGCTCGTATTCGGAATCACAGGTTCGGGGTTCACATTCTGGTAATTCCATACAAAGCTTTCTGGTTGTAACCCATACAAAATGTCTGATATAAAACCTGACGACGGCCAGAGAATTCACTGGTCGAAACGTTGTGAAAATCATAATACACATAATAAAGACGAGAATAACTGTCCGAATGATTATACCATTAGTAAAGATAGATGTGTTACCTCTAAGTTAGAATGTGCATTAGAGGGTTCAAATGCTCACATTTTTAAAACTAAAACTGAGTAGGCCCTTAACTTAATTAGTCCACCAAGGATATTGTTGTATAAAAAAATCATACGAAAATGATACTGATGATTGCAGTCACTTATGAGCAAATTGTTTAATAACACTACACCGAATATTTAGATCAAAACTTTTTTGCTCAATACCTAATCATAGTCTTCTTCCAGAAGTTCACAGAATATCGTTTGTAGATCAAAAAAAAATGAAGAAAAAAAAGCCATATGTTACCTGAAAAGACTTACCAAACTCCCAACACCCAACAGGGCTAGCTCGAACAAAATCCATACATGTGACATTATGGGGACCAAAAAAGGGGTCGTCGGGTGGAATTTCAATAGGATAACATTCTGGATGTAATAAATCTTTGTTTCCTTGGATCATCTTGTCGCAACAAGTAACAACACTGCCATCTTTACCTGCACATAATTTAAGAAATATTGAAGACGTGGTTTTGTTGTTTTACAAATACATTAAATATTGCCTTCACAAAGCGATTCTGTATATATATATTAATGAAGAAGTCACCTGTTGCGATTCTATATTATTTCCACACTGTTCAATACTCAAAGTCCTTTTAAGAACTTATCTCTCAAGATTTGTAGCCTTTACTCTGGGAAATATTGAGTCATATATGAGCTATTGTTTTTCATACTAAAGAAATGTTCAGTTAGACATTGGTAATACAGTATGACTTTTACCTTAATCAAATATGTCTATTATTCTTACTTGCACTTAATGTCTCGAACTGCTATTGTTTTTCATACTAAAGAAATGTTCAGTTAGACATTGGTAATACAGTATGACTTTTACCTTAATCAAATATGTCTATTATTCTTACTTGCACTTAATGTCTCGAACTGCTATTGTTTTTCATACTAAAGAAATGTTCAGTTAGACATTGGTAACACAGTATGACTTTTACCTTAATCAAATATGTATATTATTCTTACTTGCACTTAATGTCTCGAACTGCTATTTACCGTTTGTTATACAGTAATAGCTAGAATTACGAGACATTTAACATATAACATTAATGTAATGGTAGCACATTATTTTTGTTTGCATTATAAACTTTTCTACTTTGTTTTATTTTATTAAAAATCAATGAAATTGGTTTCTAAGGAATTAACTTTATTGTTACACTTAAAATATATATTTTATCTTTCGGACGTCATTATCTTTTGATTTGCACATTTTCTTCGTTTAAGACTGCATAAAAAGTCAAATTATTTCAATTATCTAGCGAAAGTCAACAAATTCGCACCATATAGAAAGAAAACTCGTCAAAATTTATTACAGGAAAAGTGACGATGATGGGGCACGTCGCCGCATTTGTATTGTATTTTGTATGTATGCCAAAGCTACTAAAACTATCTGTCGCCGTTCCTAATTTTAAACTACTGATGAGATGGGAGGCAGCCAGTCAACAGCACCCTACAACCCACCATCCACACTAAGGGACTGACTATCGCTCTTATAACGCACCCACAGTTTAAAGTGTGGGGAGTATGTTGGGGTATCGCACGGGTTTGAACCTGGCTCGCAGGTCCGAAATCCAAAGTTCTACTACAAGACTAACAGCGCCCGTGCCGTTGCACCACTAGAAACATTTGTTGACTTTGTAGAAATGAAGGACTGTAACAGTTATGGAGTGTTTTAATTAGATTCGGATCAGTTTTGACCAACTATTTATGAGTTCCGGCCTATATTAGATAAGTCATTCTAACTCTCTGGCATCTAACTAAATGGAACACCTATGCCCTAATGGTCCCAAATATAAGTTTGCATATCTCACAAGTCAATTATTCATTATATTTTACCCTATTTATACCAAAAGATTATTTCCTTTCACTCTGTATATGTCATAGCTTTATACTCGATGTACACAGAGCGTTGCCACTAAACACATAGTCAGCCAGACTCCTGAGTTGATATGACTTCATAATTAAGTCAAGATTATATTTGCACAGAATACGTACAGAAAAAAAAATGTTTTTCTTTATGTTATGTTTTCCATTTAGAACTTTCAACCCTTAGCGTAAACACCTTGACTGCGGATATAACGAAGTGTCGTGTTAGAGGATTCGACACAGAGACCGAAACATCATCCATATACAGTCTATAAAACTCTTCGAATCCAATACAGTTTACTCTGCGTAAAACAAGACATTTTAACGTTTTCTAACATGATCACAAAATAATGTCAGCACTCACGTAAGATCATTTTCTAATTTTACAATATTACAATAAGATAACGTACAAAAAAACTGTCTTTATTATTATTCTGGGATACATTGAAACAATGAAATTAAAATGCGTTTACAATAATTTTTGTCAAGAAAATTTTAATTGTAACAAAAAGAGTTTTATTTCGAGACCTTTAAAGTAGCAAGTTAATAGAACAGCATATTTAAAGTACAACTGATAAAGATGTGAAATTACATTTTAGTAGACACAAATTTGTTTTCCTAGACAGTGTAAACTGAAACCAAAACAGAATAATATTTGTGCATAAAGGCTTCAGTAATGAAACTGTATAAAAATGAAACGCGTAAAATTATTTATTCGTAGTTTAGATTTTTGCAAAATATTACTATTACCGACCTTCACTCGTGGCGGTGTTCGTCAAATCATGGTCCACAAATAACCCCATCAACATTGTTATTAGCGTGCAGTTACAATCGGGTTTCTTCTTAACTGCTAACATCTTCGATGTAATAAGCCGAGAACTTGGTAGTGGGTGTCCATGTAATCCAGTTCTGGGTTGAGACACGCCTATATATCCCCAAAACA